ACTATCTCTGATACTAAAGGGTGACAATTAAAAACAATATGTCTCCATGGCTTCTGGCCACATCCTGATGAAAGCATAGCCAGGACTATGTATTAATACATTCTAATTTCACCAAAAGACTTAGTCTTCATACTGACCAATAATATCTCAGCTGGCATATTATTGCCATTTCTGGCAATAATACTAGCAATTGGTTTTGTCACTTCAGCTACAAGTCCTAACAGAATTTTAAGAATCAGAGAAACTTAGAATAATAGAGTATTTGTTTGAAAGGAAAGGAATATTGATTTTGCTGCTGTCTGAACCCTAAATTCAAGATAGCAACCTGCTTGGGTCTCCAAATAATTTTTTGAAAAAGTAGAGCTAGATAGAGAGAAATTCTGTAGATAGTAGACTTTGTATTAAGGAAATAGAGAAGCAAATTAGGGTTGTATATTGCTTTGTAGCAGTTTTAAATTGTTTTCTTTTAATTCAAGGAGCATTGTTAGAATAATGCAAAAGTCTGTTGACCAAAGCAACTTTCTACACACAAAGCTTGTTTAATGTAACATTTTCACATTATCTTTTCAGAAGATTTTGAGAAGAATTTTCAAGTTTTATGCCAATCACTCACAATCCTAAGGGTTTTACAGTAGTCAGAAAGTAATGAGTAACTAACACTCTTTGCAACATTTACTCACACAAATTACTCTGGGGTAGGAGGGTTACAACAACATCCATAACAAATTAAAAACAACTTTCCAAGTACCCAACAGAACAATAAACAACTGAACTGCTGAATAGCTCAATGAGAGATGGTGCGCCACCCCAAACCAACCCATTTCTTTCCGCGCTTCTGCTGCAATGGGCGGGAAGGTGGGCCAAGGGCAGGGGATTGTGGGAGTTGTAGTCTAAACCTTTTGGAGCGCCCCTGCTACCCCCTTCTTGAAGCAAACTGTTATACTCAAGCCACTGACATGCTGCCCTTTTCTCCTTCACTGAACGGACCCTCAGGGTTCAGGGAGAAGGAGGAGCGGTTGACTTTCCGCAGTGCGTTTGCTTGTCTCTCTATAACAGCCCCGTGGATTTTGCCCTCAGCACTCTCAGTTCAATTTGAGAGCTTTCTCTCCCAGAGGATTTAAACATAGAGGCACATCACATCCATGTACAGGGGAAGATCTCAAGTTCAACATCCCTCAAAGCCATTTAAAGTTGGCCAGGTGAACTTTCTTTCCCCCTGACAGCCAGCCAGCCACAACAGGACAACAAATTCCCACCCAGGATGACCCAAGCCAGTCCCACCCCTAGAAATCCTGCCACGCCACCCCAAACTGACCCGTTTCTCTCCCCACTTCTCTTGCAACAGGCGGGAAGGTGGGCGGGAAGGCAGGACGGACAAACGGGGTTCGTCTCTCCCTCCCCACCTAGGTGTAAGGCAGCGCTTCACCGGGCGAGGACGGGGACCTGAGAGACCCTTTCCTTCCACCCAGTCCACACTCGGTCCTCCCCTAAGGGATGAAGGCGAGACGTGGCAGGCAGAAAGAGCTGGATTGTCTGGCGGTGCCGGCACTGGATCCCCTGCCAGCACCACAAAGGCTACAAATCCATCTCCAGAGATCTTAATATTCCTGTGCCCACTGTGTGCAATATAATCAAGAGGTTTACAGCCCATGGCATACCACCCCCCTGAAAAATGAAATCGCCCCCTGGGGGGCATTATCGCCCACATTAAGAACCACTGATTTAAATCAACTTGATTTTTTAAAAAACATTTTTATCCACCCTGAATCTAACTATGATCTCCAAACAACAAGACACATATTCCTATGAAGTATTACAAAGTGCAACTCTTGTGGCTTCTGATCACTGAAAAAACATCTGGGCCTAAATCCAGTTACTAGTCCCAATTACAGCAGACCTCGAATTGAATCAATAGGATGTATTTGTGGTTACCTTAATTTTTTTTAAAAGAGCTTCCCAGTCTTAAAACAGGCTGGGGCACCAAAGAGGGGGGGGGAACTGCTCCCCACAGAAGTGAGAGGTCTTTTCCCTTTAACAAAAACCCTGAGGTGCTGGAGACACAGAGGTGTGTGTAACATATTCTCCCTAATGATCATACACTTCTCAGCAGACAACTGGGCTAGATTTCATGAAGACAACTGGGTAGATACAATGCA